GGCCATGGGGAAGAAAACACTTGTTCAAATGTCTCTGATCCTACGCAAACACCTCCTCGAATGGGTGTTGGAAAACGTGCTGCACAATATGAGAGTTTCCTGAAGAGCAAAACTGCCTCTTCTAAGGCACAATAAACCCTAAAGGTTTACAATAGCAGCACAAGGCGACAAAATACTGAGCGCAACTTCTACGGCCACCGCTCAACACAACGCTCACGTGCAACGGCAGCGTTTATTCGATCTGAAAGGTCCCCCACCAGATCGTGACCCAGCAAGGCGCAGCCAGAGCCGGGCGGTTGCTCTCACACGGCTCCATCGGCCTTTCTGGAGGCACCGCGTGGTCGTGCCCCAGGCACGTCCCAGCCCCTCGAGGAAGGGGCACTCAAGACACCCGGGTTCGGTTAAACTGCATTATACGTTTATAAGTAGCGATGGGACCAAATCCAAACTCTGACTTCCAAGGGATCTGGGAAAGGAGATTTCATTTGGTTCCTTTAGCAAAAGCCACCCGAACACAAGCGCCGCAGGGAAGGCCGGGGTCTCAGTAGGGTCTGGAGACACACGATCCAGCCTTTGCACACGTCATGCACCCTGACGTCCGTACGAAAGCTCACCCAAATGATTTCCACGCTCAGGCTCGTTCGAAGCACTCCGGGCTCCTCCAGCACAAGTTAAATTTTTTGCTTTGCTGATGGTTTGAATTTACTCGCTGGAATAAGCACCCACTGAACTGCGCTGAGCCACAGCCACGTTGGAGAGCCCAGGCCAACTTTTTTCTGGCCATACAGACCGGGACGTGTTTACCCAGCACTCGGAAAAACAATTCAACTTTTATTTTAGCTCAGAGGAGAGACCAAGGGGTCACCTTTAAGCTAAGGGTGGTATAAATAGAGGCTGAGTGAAAGAAGCAACGTACAGAAAGCCAGGGAAGTGCTCTCCCCAGGAGGGAGGAGGAAAGCAAGACCCTGTAATGCCAAGCAGAATGTATTTAATAGAGAAGGTTAAGAGGGATCAGGGTCCGGGTCAGCCCCATTCTTCAGCCCCATCTGTTCCACCTCTGTACGGATGTGGGCAAGTTCACAGCTGCCTCAACCTACATATTCATGTCTATTCGTGCCACGGAATGTAATGCCATACCTTCGGCAGGCAGAACAAAAGCCAAAACTTCTGCAACACTCCTGGCCCTGAGCTTTCTCCTGCTCTCGTACGCCACTGCCAAGTCTCTGTCAAAGAAACTGCGGGGTGGGAAAGAGATCTGGGCACAAAGAGGACGGATGCTGGAATATAACCCAGGTGACTGAGGCATGCAGGTTTTTAGGGACATAAAGAAAATCAGTGTCTCAGAAAACCGCCACCAAATGCCGGGATGAAATTACTTTTCACCCAGCATCCTGAGCTGCCAAATAAAAGAGGGTTTAAAGCACAGCCGGTGGCACCCAAAGCCCGAGGCAAGGATAAGTCATGGACAAGGAGCTGCCACACAGTTCTGCTGTTGTTGGACTTGTCACCTGCGCAGTCCCTGCTTTCCTCTCCAAGGCAACACCCATCAATCTCCCAGGGATGCTCCAGGGCTTAGCAACTGTCTGCGAACCCATGAGGATCCCTGACGGGAACCTCACTGCACGGCAGAATATGGTGATATTTTCTTTGCTGCATTAATACAGCTGTCACCGTTCCCATGTGAACACTTGCCACCTGCCAGCCTTTGCCGCTGCAGCCTCCTGAGGGACCGCTGGCCTGGAGAAGCTGTCCCTTGCTCTGGCACGGAAACAACTGCATGGTGGGGTGCAAATTCCGAGCTGTGCAAAGGTGGGGGAGAGGACCGAGTGTGTCCAACGAGCACCATCTCATGCAGAACAAAAACCTCAGTGCTGCACAGCCTGCATTTATTCGCGTTTGCTATTGCAAGTTTTACCACCACGGCTTGCTAGAAGCCCGTTTGCATCTCCAGGCTTACACTGGCACTAACTTCTTCACAGCATTTAGTGCCAAAAGAACCGAGCAGGGAGACACGTGAAAGCAGGTATTCGGCAGCGGAGCAGTTTGCTGTCGCATAAGTGGCCTCGGGTTATTTTTACAAGGAGCGCAGAGCGCACATTTGGCCGTGGCTCACCGTTAATCTCCCCGGGGCAAAACATGGAGGAGAAACCAGCTTAGTCACGATGCTTTGGAAAAGGGTAACCTCAGCGGGGGAACAGGGCCTCTCCACCTGGAAACATGCCCGTCAAAATAGGTTTCTCCAGTTTCCCATCTCATTGCCCCATGGGGGAGGAGAGAGGAAAGGATCTTATTTTCCATAAGAAAAGGGAAAGGGATATATCAGTACCCTTGCATGGGTTTAGCTACGCAGTACAGGGATGTGTCTGTATCTTGAGCTCAACCCTGTAGGACATAGAACATCCATCCTTGGTCTGGAGATGGAGATTTGGGTCCCTGATGTCCCTGAGCCATGTCTGCACGCTGCTGCACTCGCTGCACTCTTCCCAACACGGTTTATTGAGTGTAGGAAGCTTTATGAAGCACTTCCAGAGCCAATTTCACACTGTAGCCCAGGCAGACACACTTCAAGCATCACTATGGCTTTTCCTCAGCAAAATCAAAGAAACCTTTTCAAAAAAGCAATTTCCCTCATTTTTAAATACTGGTGGAGGATATTATTAAGTAAAACATCCACAAGAAGCGACAGTGAATGCCTCCATCCCTTCATACACTCTTACAGGAAATTAAAGACCCATTAGCAGTAAGTTCAGGAGAGCAATGCCTGCAGGTCCCAGCTCAGACCCTTGCCCTATTGCACCTATGGATGTCCCCTTCTCAAGAAGAGCTTAAAAACACCACGTCCAAATCAAAAGAAGGCATGAGATGGGTAAACGCCTTGCAGTTCAGCAGCAGAGATGAGAACAGCTGAGCTAGCTCTGAGTTTGCTGTCTCCAGGAGGGAAAAACAAACAAACAAGCCCCCCCCACCCCACAAAAGCCAAGGATATAGAGTGCAACAAGCGTGGTCTTGGCAGAAATTCAGAGGCCTGATGAGCTCGCTGAGACCTGCTGGGAGATACACACATCCCCTCCAGGAACACCTGAAAAATATCTGGGGTTCACCGTGTGATCCCCAATGGGGGCTGGGTCTTGCTCAGATGTCCCCCCCGAGATGCTGCTGGCACATCGGTGGTGCCACCCTCCAGAAGGGCTGCAGGAAGGGCTGCATCACAGGGGACAGACCCACAAGCATCAGGTATGCACCCTGCCTGGGGCAATTGCACCTCTCCTCCCCGCTCCAGGTTACATGCTGCAATGAACCTGGATGATTGATGCCATGGCGCTGCAGGAAGGGCTGCATCACAGGGGACAGATCCACAAGCACCCTACCCGGGGCAATTGCACCTCTCCTCCCCACTTCAGGTTACCCCAGTGTATGAAGTTTTACACACTGCAATGAACCTGGATGATTGATGCCATGGTGCTGCTCCAGGCAGCTCTTACCCAGGGACAAAAAGGCATGGGAAGGGTTTGGAGGATAAGGAAGGAAACTGTTGGGAAGTGGTTTGTGGTGGCCCTGAAACAGAGCTCCATCACGTCTGCAAGCGTGACCAGAGCCAAACACAGGTTATGGGGGTGGAAGGGCTTCCTTTTTGCTCAAAGGTAGCTTATTGGTTCCAGAGAGCAAGTTCAGGGAAGCCACACAGCTCCCACACTCCCAGGAAAGCTGTTGCAATGAAGACATCCCACCAGGAAGCTCTGCAAACCTTCCTTTGGGCTTACTGGAAAACATCACTCAGCCTCTTCCTACAATTCACACCATTTATTTTAAATGTAACTTTAATTCCTGACAAGGGGAGAAGAAAAACACAACCATGACAGATGAGCCTTCAGCTCCCCCACCACACTCCAACCTGTACCAGACAAGATGAACAGAAATGACTCTTTAAGAGGATGCCCGTTCCTGGGAGTTTCAAGAGGAGTTGAGGGAGCATCACCAACTACGGCTCCCTCTTGCCCTACAGCCTGCACGGTGCTTTGCAGAAGAAAGGTATTTCCTCTGAAAGGTGTGTATCTTAGATGTTTGCAACCGATTCATCTTTGGTGCATATCACGTCACCACGACTGTGATGCCAGGACAATCACACCAGTTTCGCAGAGCTGTGCCATCCTTCCAAAATTACATGTAGGGAACTGCAGCACAGGAGGACTAAGAGATCAAAAATTCCCAGAGATCTGATACCACCTACATCTCCTACAATCACTGTCTGATAGCTTTTGGTCTTCTCTCTCACTCCTCTTCCTCCTTATCCAGCTTATTTCGAGAGCTCAGAAAATTTCACGCCTTTCTAAGCTTACACTGCTCTGCAAATCAGATACTGACAATATCACTTCTTTAAAAGAAAGCCTGGGGAAAGAAATCTTAGTTATCCAAACAGCCAGTGGCCACCACGCAAAGTCACATTTACCATGAATGGGAGCGAGCCAGCCTGGGATTTTCAGAAGCCCTTATGCTGCTATAGCTGCCAGGGAGCAAACGGGGCCAAGAGTTTCAAAAGCCCACACCTGTCTGTGGCTGCGCTCATGTCAGAGCCCAAACAGCAGCCCATGGAGGCTGCACTTTTTTGGCCTTGAAGGCACAGCCAAGGACTCTCTCGTCATTTGGGGTCATGATAAATATCGCACAAGGGCGAGGAATGGCCTGTTATCCTTGTGAGGCAGAAAGCGTTCCTGGTGGGGTAAGGTCTTTAACACAGAAACACAAAGTGGCAGAAAGCAGAAATAATTTGCTAACACGCGAAGTATTAACAACAGGCGAATGTTACTTGGTCAGCTGGAAAGCTCAATACTGTGCAATCAAACCACGATCTCCGAGCAGGTCCTCTTGGTCCAAAGACACACAAGCACAGCAGTAACCGGGAGGCTTTTTCCCTGGCACTCAGGGAAAAGCTCCACACTCCCAGCAGAGTGGTTTCCCAAGCCAACAAGGTTACGGAGGTGTGATGAGACCATGGTACCTACCGGCTTGGGGCAGTGGATGTATCTAGCAAGGCTGATGATCAAGTCATGAGTGATTGGATCCACTAGGTTTCGAAAGCTGGCATATCGATAGAGGACATCATCCAGAGAGGTCGACTCCATTCCTAAATCCTGCAGAAAACACGGTAAAGGTGCAACATTAGATGGGCTACCAAAGCCACTGCTAGCATGGATCTTAAAATCAGTCCACATTGGTGGTCCCCTTGAAGAAGCCAAGAAGAAAGTGATCCCCCACCACAAGGATGGGACACACAAGCACATCACCCTGGGGAAAGCTGCACGCCTGTGTTTTATCTGCTCTGCAAAAAGGCATTAGGGCTGCAGGATGAACACCCTCATGCCACCCACAAGCCACCGAGCGAATAGTATGCTTGCAACAAGGTAAAATCAAATACAACTCCAGAGAACACAACAGCTTGATCAGCATGAAACTGGAATCGGAGAATAAATATAGCATAGATGTGCTCTGGGTCTGCTGTGCATAGAGAGGAAAGAATGAGCCTAAAATTGCAGCAATGGCAACAGGAGGATAAATTGCAGGGGCAGGGAGAAGAGTGAAGTGCTGGACTAGATTGCCTGGGGAAGGGGTGGAGGCTCTGCCGTTGGAGACTGGACAGGGATATGTCAGGAACTGTTCAGGTTGAGCTGAGCCTGCCCTAGGCATGGATCAGACCTCCTGAGGTCCCCCTCCAAGACTCTTTTCTATGATTTGCAATCCTTAGACATAATAATTCGAGGAATTTTGGCAGAGAACTCATCATTATATGAAATATGTTAGTGCACAGAGATGGGGAGGGGAAGGGTTATATATAGTGTACTCCTTTTACTTCAAATATTTTATCTCCACTATGCTTTGTTCCTTAGCAGCAGCCAGTCAGGGGATAGAACAGCACTCCTCTCAGATGAATACACATTGCAGCGAGGTCCACCAGCCACCCCATGGGATGGCCAGAGCCAGTCCATCAAGGAGATGTGCCCCACAGGTCCTATCCAACACCAGAGCTCCAGGAGAGCTGGCTCATTTTCCAGCCCTGCCTTACTGAGTGTGCTTGAGCAAGCCATTTCCCTTTCGCCTTTTATTTTTGACAGGAGTAAGATGGTTTGTATTTCTCTTGAAAGGCCTGACTTCGCTTTTAAAGACTGAAGCCCAGAAACAGCCTCCTCTACTCGGTATGGATGGGATTTAGCAAAATGAAGACCCATGAGTCCTACTGCATTTCAGGAAATTCATCTCTCCTTTGGGTAATGCATCCACCTTCCCATAGCAGAGACACCACCACACCTACCCCAAGGCATTTACTTTCCAGATGACCTCTAAAAGGCTCAGTGGGCAGGGACATGCCGACACTGAGACCTGTCTGCCACCCTGCTGTGAATTTGGCAGGATAGAGCCCCAAAACAATGTGGAAGTGGTTGGTTATATCTCCACTTAATAGTGGAGATATAACTTGGTAAGATAAAACTAACCACCAGCATTGTTCCAGTGCAAACACTTGTGTAGGAAGCCACAATCTCTGGTCCTTCAAGCCCTCACTGGCAATGGGAGCTGGGTTTGTAAGCTGGTGGGCTGGTCAAACTCCGAGTATCTACTCCTGCTTGTTGAACCAAAATACAGAACAAATGAGGAATCATTTCAACGATCCATGAAAAATCAGGCAATGATGAAATCCTCATATCTCTATCTCCACTAGCATTGAGGAAAATGACTTCTAACCCCCAAGAACAGCCACGCTAGAGACAAAGACTTGTCCACAACTGCATCAAAGGCCAAGTCCTCCTCCCACGTAGCTGGCGGCATCTGGCATGAAGAGTTTCATGATGTTTGAAAACACACATGTCTCTGGGGGTGAAAAGGCGCTCCCAGGGATTAATCATGGTGGCATCAAACCAAACTGGTCCAGTTCTACAAAGAATTTGAGGCTGAAAAGAGCTGAGCTGCCAAATTGAGATGGAAGTTCCAGGTGAACAAAGAATGACCAATGCAAGAAACATGTGTAAAGGGGAAAGTATTTGGTGCCCTGGTCCTCTTCTTAGGGAAAACCAGCTGGCTACAGGAATGAAATACAGGATGGGACCCTGAGGGCAGGGGCTGCTGTTCTGTGGAGCTGGGGAAAGTGAAACATAAAAGTTATTTATAAGGTACCAGTTATAGGAAGGTGCTATCTGGCCACGTGGGAGTCTCAGTCTGGCTAAGTGACTCAATAAAAAAAAAATAAATTTGAAAGTGTCAGACACACAGCACAGGGCTGAGACAATCTTACCCACCATCATCCTGCAAAAAGCAGCCTCCCTGACTTTCCTTTTGTTTATAGTTTTGACTAATAACTTGTTATTTATTGAGCATTTTGCACTTCTGCAGAACTTGCCGCGTGAAGACATTAGAGCATCTCACAAATGCAAATTGCACTTATTACCCACAACTACAAGTACTTACATTTAGAAACAATGCGTTTAAAACAAAGGCATCACGCAGAGGCATCATCTCCCTTACAGAGCTGAACAGAGCAGCTCGGTGAGATGTTAAGCCCTGCAGGTGTGAGAAGGGAGTCCATCTCAAATATGTGCTACAGCCAAAGCACTGCAGCTCCCAGCCCTCATGGTATAAATGCAGCTTTTGCCCAAACAAGTAGAAGTGCAGTAGGGTTGCATATAGCTGCTGTTGTAGGAAATTTTTTTTAAAAAAATAAAAATCAACATGACAGTAAGAAAGTAGCTTTACACATTCTAAAAATTACCAAAAAACCCCCCCAACAAATCCACACAAAACTGAAGATAATCAAGATAATCAAGAACACTTGAGTAACCTCCCTTTATACATGTACACATGGATAAAGACCAGGCAGAAAAATAGAGATATAATTCAGGATCTTCAACTATCCGTGATCCTTGTCAGACCCAGGACATGGATGGGGACGGAAACGCGTGGCTGAGGGTGGGGACTGTCCCCATGTCCTGGCAACACTGCAATTTGAGCAGCTTAGGTGTGTGTTAAAAGCACCCCGAGACAGACTTCCTCCGGCCGATGCCCCCAACCTCGGCTGCTCCAGGGTCACAGTTTGCAGTTCATTATTGACAGCCACACACACAATTTGTTAATAATTTACACAAAGAAGTTCCCGTTCTGCTGTCCCCAATGTTTTAATATAACAAACCTAAGCCGGTAACATCTTGGCAACCTGCAATAAATTGGAGCCTGTCCTGAGCTCAGAGATGCTCCTGCCCCAATGAACCGCATGGGAAGGCACATTGGTTGTAGGTGCTGATGCTCTGTGACTTCAGACAGGCTGAAAATGATCATCTTCACTTAAAAAAACAATAAATCTATTCCACCTTCAGACACTGGCCGTAGCAGCCAGAGGGATCTCACATTTCTTGCAATTACAGCTTGTGCCACAAACGAGGTGGCAAGTCTTCAGCGTACCAGATTCCTTGTTATTTTGGGGGGCATCACTGCAGCACTGGCTGAGTTAACACTGGTTTTGCAAACACGCATGCCATTTGGCTAAAAAGAGTCGAGGCAGTTAAAAAACCACACGTGTGGGGCTGTTTTCCCTTGCTGGGAGCATCAAAAAAGCCCCAAACCAACAAATCCAACCAGCCACAAAACCCAACCAGCCAATGCGCTCACTGATTGCAAATATACCCAGTCTGAAAAATAAAGAGGCTGAACCGATTTATGATCTATCCCACAGCTTCTGCCAAGTTGGCATTTAAAAAAAATTAATTAATCTCAGCATCAAGATCTTGAGCTAAGATGAGGGGGTGTGTTGTGCTGCTCAGGAGCAGCACTGTGACGCCCAGGCCAGCCCACCAAGGCTGCTCCATCATGGTTAGGTTTAATTAGGCTGGAAAAACTAATTCCTTTGTTCAAGACTGTCTTCTTCCTCATGTATTTTGGCATCACATGGATCCACAGGTGACTGTGCAGAACCAGGTGGGTTCAGGAGCTCGGGCTCCTTTACAAAAAGATAAAAAGGGAGAAATAGAAATTGTGCAGATAATGTAGGGCAGGGAGATCCCCAAAGGAAACTCCCACTCTTTCAGGGACAGAAACGTAACAGCAGTGTGGATGTTACCTTCCCAGCCTGGTAGAACTCAACATTAGGAATAAGCAAACATTAAGTAAGAGCTGGATTTGGCCCACAGTCACATAGCGTCGCTGGCAAACACCATGCACTACTGAAGGAGCCAGTTTTGGGGTTGGTAGAAGTAATCCTGCACACACAGCTCTTGACACCCTAGAATCTTTTGAGGATCAAACCAGGCTTAGCATCTTGCCGCTTCTCTTTAAACATCTCAAAACTCTGACAATTTTCTCTTAAGCTAAAATTAATATGTAGAACCAATAAATCAGAGAATTTCTCCTCCTCTCTCCTGGGAGAGCTTACATTTTCACATGAAGTATTCCCTCCTCCCTCCTGGTACACATTTTTTTATGCACAGATGTCTTTCTCAGCTGCTCCCTAAATCTCTCTGCCACACCAGCATTGTCTCTTTTCCACCACATGTAATATTTTAAAGACACTCAAGGCTGAAACTTGTTCAAGGCCAAGTGATGAGCTCATCTGCAATTTAATAACTTAACACCAGTTCATGCTGTCAGCAGCAAATCACGAATCACTTGCTTTGGAGAAAACGCCCAGCATCTGGCTTGAGTCACTTGGGGCTGTTTTCAGCACGTTCCCTTTTCCCAGGGGATCTTTACCTGGATAGCAAGTGCAACTTTCAATACGTAGGGTACATAGATTTAAAATGACGGTATTTATGAGCCAGGCAGGACCATGACTTCCTTGGTGTAGGCTGGAGGAGTGTTTTTCTAGCGTGCACCCAAAACCCTGCACCGTGCTGAGATGGCTTGGGAAGGTTCGCGCATGTGCGGCTGGAGAAGGGGAATGTCTCTGCATCCCTGAGCCACCTCGAGTCCTGACATCCCCATGGGCACTGACAGGAGGAGCCTGAGAGGATGTTTCAGAACAGCATATTCAACAGCACATCTACCCCTATGAGGGCAGTTGGCGCTAATGCCCAACTCGAGCAGGATTTGGGATTAACGACACAAAACAAGCAGAGAGGTCAGGAATGCAGAAGCGACTGAAAGCAACCCAAAAAGC